AAGAAAAGAGATTCCATGGAAGAACAGGGTGGTGAAGTCCAACACAGAAGTTATTGGAGATTCAGCAAACAAGATTTCTTACCAGAAGAATCATTTCAAAGCTGGGCTAACTACCGATCTGCACTAGCACAAACGGGTTTTCGTTTCAAGGATCGACTCATAAGTCGATCAGACGATGCTAAAGAGATTGGAGAACTCCGGAAACAAAGTGAGAATGATATGAAACGATGTCTCACTTGGTGGGATCTCACTTGGTTTGGATTTGGTGCAGTAATAGGAGCTGGTATCTTCGTGCTCACCGGCCAAGAAGCCCACAACCATGCAGGACCTGCTATTGTGTTGTCCTATGTTGCTTCTGGATTTTCAGCAATGCTATCTGTTTTCTGTTACACCGAATTTGCAGTTGAAATACCGGTGGCTGGTGGATCATTTGCTTATTTGAGAATTGAATTAGGAGACTTTGTGGCATTCATAACGGCAGGAAATATACTTCTTGAAAGCATCGTTAGCAGCGCAGCAGTTGCTAGAGCATGGACTTCCTACTTCACGACTCTTTTGAATCGTCATCCAAATTCTCTACGCATCCATACAAATCTAAGCGAAGGCTTCAATCTGTTGGACCCCATTGCTGTTGGGGTTTTAGTCATTGCTGCAACAATCGCAATGATTAGCACAAGGAAAACTTCATTACTTAACTGGATAGCAACTCTAATCAATACTTCAATAATTTTATTTGTGATAATTGCAGGGTTTGCCCATGCAAACACTTCCAATTTGAAACCGTTTTTGCCTTTTGGAGCTGAAGGGATCTTTAAGGCAGCTGCCATTATTTACTTTGCCTATGGAGGATTTGACAGTATTGCCACCATGGCAGAAGAAACCAAAAACCCATCAAGAGACATACCATTAGGACTTGTTGGATCAATGTCAATTATCACTGTGATATACTGCTTGATGGCACTTTCACTAAGCATGATGCAGAAATACACAGATATAGACACAAATGCAGCTTACTCTCTTGCATTTCAGAGCGTAGGGATGAATTGGGCAAAGTACCTGGTAGCACTTGGTGCACTGAAGGGGATGACCACTGTTCTTCTAGTAGGGGCACTTGGACAAGCACGGTATACTACTCATATTGCACGAGCCCACATGATTCCTCCTTGGTTTGCTCTTGTCCATCCGAAGACTGGAACACCAATAAATGCCACACTTCTGATTACCATTTCGAGTGCTATCATTGCCTTTTTCTCAAGCCTGGATATCTTGTCAAGCTTGTTATCACTGAGTACCCTATTTATCTTCATGATGATGGCTGTTGCACTTCTGGTGAGGAGGTACTATGTGCGGGAAACCACACCGCAAATAAACCTCATTAAGTTAGTCGCCTTTCTGCTGATTATTATTGCATCCTGCATGGGGACTGCTGCTTACTGGGGATTGAAGCCCAGTGGATGGTTTGGATATGTCATTACTGTTCCTCTTTGGTTCCTCGGCACTATGGGGATACATATGATTCTACCTCAGCAGAGAAAGCCAAAGGTTTGGGGAGTTCCACTTGTTCCATGGCTTCCGTCCTTGTCAATTGCAACAAACATATTTCTCATGGGATCTTTGGGTTATAAGGCTTTTGAGAGATTCGGGATCTGCACAATTGTAATGTTGCTTTATTATGTTTTCCTTGGTCTCCATGCAACTTACGACATGGCCCATCCGCAATAGAAACCAGAATCGTTTGAAGAGAAGGATGACAACATTAAAAGAGAAGGACCTTGAGCCATTGTTATCCCTTACCCTGCAATACCCAATCTTCATATTAAGACACCTTCTGAAACTAATAATCCGAAGCACACATCACATTATAACCCACTCATCAATAATACTTGATGTTTAAAGTCAGTAGACATCCAAACCCACCAAAACTCGTAGTTGGCTTAAAGCCTTACACCAATCATCAGCTTTAACTGTTTCAGATTTTTAGCATGCTCATAATGAATTGACAAAGCATATGTAAAAATATTTCAGTGTATACATTTTGTCAATGATATAGTTCTGATACAAGAAAATTGATTTAGGATTAACAAAAAGCAGCACTCCAAAATTTAGAAGTTTGAGGCTATATTGAAGTAAAACAGAATGCTTGAATTGCAAAATTACCTATGCAAGAGAGTGAAAAATGTCAATCTGGATGGAGTAGTACAACAAACCCACCATCTTGTATGATACCTAAATAATATCATGTGTAGCAATTAAAGAATGAGGGGGCTATTACTCTCAAGACCAAGGAAAAATGACTGAAATGGAGAAATCCTACAAACATCAATTGCGACCAAACAAAAATACTAGCTTAATTGAAGGGGAAGTTCAATCCACCCATTCATCCAACGCACAATGATGTATGGCAGGTAACATTGAGCAATGAAGAGACAACATGCATGCAAAATTTGTGGTAGAGTTGAGGATTTCAATATGGATGAGTGGAAATAAAGGACTAGGTAAGAAATTATTCCATTTATAGAAACCTGGAAGTGGTACTTACTTAGGATAAGGCAGGGAAAATTTCGACTGTCTGGTAGCACCGTCCAAAATACATTCTTATGTCATTCTTAGTCTGCCTTCTGCCTTTTACACTCATAACTTGTATGAGGTCTATGGCAGAGCTTATGGAGAATGTAGTCCATAGCTAAGTAAACTGAAGAAACATATTCATAGGCAGATCCAACTAGATTGAAATTGGACACGAGTAAATTTGCAAGTGTACTATTTCAACCCATTAGATAAGAGTCCAGAAGTTTAAAATCCAAATTCAAGTTTTGCTTCCTAGACTTCTAAAAACCAAATTAAATACAAGACACTATAAAAAAAATGATAAATAATCCAAAATAAAAAAAATTTCACAAACAATAACTGTGAGCATCATATTAGCACCCAAAATATAGTTATGGCTGTCCAAACATAAGACAGAATGTGAAGTTGGAGTGAAGTTCCATTAACAACTTGTGGAGCATTACTAACAATTAGAAAGCAGATTGCTGGAAAAAAATTGATAGAAAAGAACTTGAGATTTTTTTTTTTTCTTTCCATTTCCCGTCAATGATCAGCAAGAAATTCTCAGAGATATGAAAGAAAACAACTATTCTAGGAAGTTACAATTGCAATGAAAATAAGGAAAATGAAAAAGGAGAAAAAAAAGAGAACAAAACTAGCGTCTAAAAGTTAAGCTTATATTGGCATTACTATGGTTCCAGGCTATCCTTTTTCAGTTGGAAAAAGAAAAGGGAAGAAAGAAAAGAGCTCAGCCTTTTTATTATATTTGTTCTGTTTTCCACTTTTATTCCTTCAAATGTTTTCATAACATCAATCAAACAACTCTTGGTTTTTATTTCAACATTGCCTATATTTTGATTTGATAAAGGCTTTGCCGATTTCAACAAAAAGCCTTGAGGAATATCTCCCTTTCTTCCTCATTCCTTTCCTTCATATTTTCTGCCATTAAATACAGGATTCTCTTTCAATTTCATATCCTCACAAATTTTAGATTCAATCTTCCATTGTCTTCTTCTAGAGTTCCAGTTTCCCTCCGCTATTTCCTTAACAATGTCTTTTTTTTGGAAGGTGGTGAAAACAAATAATAGCAGCTTGTCCCCAATGTCAAGGGTGGCTTTGGGGCGATTCCAATTTCCATCTCCTCACACCACATCTAGTTGCGCGCCTTTGGTGGTTTGATAGGTTTCCAATGGTGATAGATGTATAAAAGTTTCAGCTGTAGTTGCCTTTTTTTGGGTAATTTGATAGTGTAGTGTTCTGATGATCTTATTAATAGCAGCTAAAATACTGGAAGAAATTACAGCCATTGTTTGGTGGTAAAGGAAAGGCAACATAACAAAATTCCTGAAGGCACATTTTGTGCTGTCGCTAGGTATTTTGGGACTAGGATTTTGGCAATCCTTACACACCTTGTGGTATGTAGATTTCCCCTGAATCTAGACTAGCCAAGTACTGAATATCAAGAATCGCATCCAATTGAAGGCACAACACAATGTACTATCAGGGTAAGGTTGAACCTAAAGCCTTACGAGCATTGTGTGCCACATATATTCACCCTATAGAAATTTCATGCTGAGGAGATATGTGCATTATGGGCATCTTAGCCCCATAGTATGCATAGAGATCCTCCCCTAAGGAGACATCATCCCCACTTTCCAAGTATGAGTGCCGCCCCCCCCCCCCCCCCCCCCCCCCCCACTTTCCAAGTATGGAGTGCCGCCCCCCCCCCCCCCCCTCCTCTTCTTCTAGCTTTACCATAGAGAGCTCACCTAAGGGCCAATCCGTCCATTGCACGAGGCTGGGCAAGAAGCATTATTTGCCAAACTAGTTCTAAGAATGTCTTAGGAATATTTCAGTCCTCCCTCTTCTCTAGTTTACCATTAGAGAGCTCACCTAAGGGCCAATGCCGTCCATTAGCACGAGGCTGGCAAGAAGCATTATGCCAAACTAGTTCTAAGAATGTCTTAGGAATATTTCAGTTCTAGCAAGAGGATACATCACTATATTTAGCTATTAAACCTCCACAATTATGAAAATATAAAAAAGTATGAATTTCCATCCTGTCCTTAAGGGGGTCGGAGATCAACCCATTAAATCTTGCCTCACACTTAAACAATTGATGACCTTGTTGAATGAAGTTCTTGAATCTGCCCTAAGGAACTATAGTCTCACTTCAATCTTCTCCTGCTTACTCTTTGCTTCCTTACATCACACTTCCATCAACCACATGCTGGCTTGAATGTAGACTTACTCTCCACTTGCATCGTTATAATCATCTATATCAAGAGTTTTGCCTAGTTATACCTTGTTCTTCAACTCCACCAACCTTTTGTGTGGAAACGTCCTGTTACAGCCCACCACCAGCTCCAAGCGACAGAACAAGTTAAACAACTGGGATGAGGTTACAAGAGGTACACATGCAAGAAAAAAAAGGAGCAACAGCATAGATTTGAATTCGTCCTTAGAACTTATCTCTTTTTATTTTTATTTCAGTTTATATGCATGGAAGTTAAGTTGCTTCTTTAGGGCATGTGTTATATTTCAGTTTTAGTGGGTTTGTGTATTTGGAGTTATGCAATTGTGGGTAGTTAAGCTCTTTTCCATAAACTGAATATCTATTCAAACATTACAACATGAAATGTCAAGCAAGCAACTAATTCCTCAAAGTTCTTGGTTTTTTATAAGATGGAAGGATTCTCTCTACTGAGCCCTAAAACCAGCAATCATAGCTAGAAATAAGAACTTATTTTACAAATAACAAATTCCTATCATTACAAAAATCCATTACAAGAAAGCATGTCTAACCATACAAAAGATAAGTGATGTTTGTGTATTTCAGCAATACAAGAGGAAGTTTGTATATCTTACCCAAAAATGCAAAAATACATTTTTTGTCTCCTTTATCAGACTTGCTTATTTCCTTTCAAGTAAACTTACACAACCTTGAACAACATATTTCAACAAGAAAAAGAAAAACAGATAAGACATTAAGACTGTAATGCTTCTATGAATAAAATGAAAGCAAAATACAACATGACACAGGCACAATGCTTTTCTACGAAATCAGCAACACACTAATGGAAAGGAAAACGATAATAAAATCTATAGGCAACAGATGAAATGCATCTAGTATTAGGCTCACATGCCCCCCCTCATCTGGGGGCCGTAAATAAGTCAAATCCAGCCTCATCAATCTTATGCACCTAAAACAAACATAAGAATTCAAAAACTAAGTTGTAAATGTATCAGCTTCAAATGTACTGATAAAAGAGTCAATTTGCAAAGGATGAGATCTCCATTCTATATCCTTCACTAATTTTGAAGCTTTCAACACAGCCACCTTTCTCATTCTGCATAAGTTCTTTCTATGAAAGTCCATTTTGGAACCCTCCAAATAAGTTAATCATAAACAAATTGGGATAGAGTAATCTTGTGTTAGAAGTTCTTCTAATTGATTGAGAAAAATAATAATAAAGTTGGACTCACTTGGCACATTGTTTAAAATCAAGGATCCCTCATGAAATCCCTATATATTTAACTCTATAATGTAGTATGCAATCTTCTCCATTGAATTGTTTATTTTTAATATGAAAAGTATTCCCAAGGAACTGTATATTGCTGTGCATAAATTTCGAGTACTAGCTCAAGAGAAAGAAAGGTTAGGGGACTCCATCAGAAAATTATTCAAAATTCAAGTACTCCCACAATATATCCTTATTTATTTATCACTTGCATGTTATATTCAAACCTTTCCAGTAGAAATGTTTGTTCAACTTTTTTTTTTTTTTTTATTTTTTTTTTTTTTTTTTTTTTTTTTTTTTTTTTTTTTATTTTTTTTATTTTTTTTTTTTTTTTTTTTTTATTTTTTTTTTTTTTTTATTTTTTTTATTTTTTTAATATATGATAGAAATAAACAAATGTACCTAACATTGAATATCAAATGCACATTCTGTAAGCCCCACTCACCACAGAATTACTTAATCTATGGCATAACAAGAAAATCGCCTACTTGGCACACTCATACACATAGTTATTCACCAAAAAATTAGATGTTATTTGAGTTTAATGAAGCCTGCACAGTAAAAGCATAAGATTTGTATATGCATACCTAAAGAATCAACAATATAGATTGCTCCAACACTTGTCAATCACTGCTTGAATCTTCTTAGGTTTACATAGCTCCTGAACCACTCTTGCCCAAGTAGAGGCTTTTGGTGGTAAAAACTTCTGCAACATGACTTCTACAATCTTAGAGGCACCTGAAATTCTGTGTCTCTTTAATAAGCGAACAACAAGCTCATCAAGAAACTCTCTCCCATCTTGAGGTGGGTCTAGTTTTTCTCTTAACATTCTCAAGAATATGTTGCAGGTAACCAAGTCAGGATCACATTCCCGATCTAGCATCCTATTTAGTAGATGAACAGCATGAGAGATGCCACTCTGCTTGCATAAAGCATTGAAAAGTATGTTATATGTGACCACATCCGGTTGAGAATCAGGTCCCAAACAAAGCATCTCATTATAAAGTTTCAAAGCCTCTCCTATTAAGCCACCATCGCAAAGGCCCTGAATCATTGAACTATAAGCCACAACATCAGGCCTACATCCTTTCCCTAACATTTGTGCCCACACCACCATAGCCTCCTTCACATTTCCATCCTTACATAGCCCATGAATGAGTATACTGTAAGAAACCTCGTTCTGGAAATTATTCTTTACCATGACTCTCCATACTTCAATGGCTTTACGGCTATTACCTGTCTCAAAGAATCCCCTCATCAGGGAGCTATAGGTGAAAGCATTCGGCTTACAACCCTTATTCACCATATCAGAAAGAATTTTTATTGCTTCCTCTGGCTTTCCTTCTCGACAGAAACCATCTATAAGAGTACTGTATAGAACAGTGTTAAGTTCACATCCTTTCTCTATCGATTCATTGAACAATTTTATTGCTTCTTGACACTTCCCCTCCTTAAAAAGTCCACTAACCAGCACAGAATAAACATACTCATTCGGATGATACCCTCTTTCTTCCATCGAAACTAACAAGCGAGCCCCATCAAGCACTCTTCCTTGCTTAACTAGCCCATTAATGATTGTCCCATATGTAACTTCATTAGGCACACATTTACTCATTACCATCCGATCCAAAAGACTAAGTGCTTTATCCAATTTCCCCTTCAAACACAAACCATGAATAAGCGTGTTATATGTCACTTCATTAGGAACACAACCTTTAAGAAACATATTGTCAACAAGCTTTGTCACCCGTGCCAGATCACCCTTCTTGCATAACCCATTAATCAACACATTAAATGTAACTGGGTTAGGAAAACAACCCTCAACCTGCATCTCATCTAATAATGAAACCGCCTCATCAATCCTACCCTCTTTGCAAAGCCCATCCATCAATGTACAATAAGTGTAAGCATCAGGTATACAATTCCTAACGGGCATCTCTCTAAACACCTCAATTGCATTATCGACCAATCCTAGCTTACATATGGCCTTAATAACCAAATTAAAACTAAGCACATTAGGCGCTATATTCATATTTTTCCCACCAACAACATAATTATAGAACTCCAAAGCACGAGTATAAAGACCCTCTTGAATAATAACATTAAGAACTGAGTTAATTGACTTTACAGTTCGTTTACACTGAAATTCACTCCCCATTCTATCAAATAATTCAATGGCCTTTTCAGGTAAATGAGCTTTCCCGTAAGCCTTAAACATAACAATAAAACTCTTCTCAGTAAAGACTCTATTTTCAAGTCTCATACGATCCAAAATCTTCTCCAAAGACTTAAAATCACTGGAAGTGGCATATTTTTCAATGAGGGAATAAAAAGTTGAATCACCCAACTTGTATGAACCCATTTTTGGGGCAGACTTGAAGATTTTATCAAATGTAGGGGACTCAGGTTCATTTCTATTTTCATTATCATCATATCTATTCTGTTCATTATTGTTTTGGGATTCAGTTGCAATAGTTTCATTGGATGGAATTGAAAGAACAGAAAAGTGAAAATGCACAGAGTCGAAAGGGAACTTACATAGAACATAGAAGTTGTTGACATGACTGAGTCTCTTGAGGATTGATATGTTGTATAGAGAGCATTTTGGCATGGATATTTCAATTTTTTTTTTCTTTTCTGGGTGTTTGTTTGCAGCTAGGGATTTGGAGACAGAGTGCAAAATATCTATACACACATATTAAAGTAGAGAGCCTAGGTACAGTTCACAGTAGCCAGGCTCGCCTGAGGTTTAATATATTTGGATTGGGTATTGCAATATTAGGGCTGATCAAATTAAGAGTAGCTACTATAATGTTAAGGCATAGGCGTTCTTGCCTGTGCAAAAATTGAGGCGAATTAGGTATGGAAATCAGCTTTTTTTTTTTTTGTCTTAAATTTCTTTTCTGGATTGTCTGGAATGAGTTTTGGATCTATCTCTACGCAACGTTGGCTTTCAAAGAAGTGATTGAAGCGGCCGAACTGCTAGTCGACGACTGTGGAATTGTTGCAGAGCGCCGAGGCTTTGAATTGCAATTGGGGATGGGGAATTGAAATTTGGGGGGACTTAAAACGGTGTCGTTTGAAGTCGTCAGGATGGCCTTTTTATCCTGCATAAAAGGAATAATTTAGCAAAGGTTTGTTACCGTATATACATTTTTTTTTTTTTTTTTAAAAAAAATATATAACCGTATATACATTTTTTTTTTTTTTTTGAAAAACAAAACACTGTTTTCTATTTTTATTGACGGACTACATAAATTCATTCATGAATTTTATTATTTTAATTTTGTGACATTCTATTTTTCTTGACCCACCAAAACTTTAATTTATAACACTAAACCTATTAAATACTTCAATTTTCAAAATTATTTTGTTGAACACTCATAAATCAATTAAACATTCATTAAAAAGTTAAAATTTATGAAAATTATCATTGCTTAAGTCATGCTAATTATATTTTAAGTCTATGTTTTATAGATAAAAGCTAAAAACTCTTAAAAATTATTGATGTTAGTGTCGAAAAATGAATAATATATCAAATTTTACAAGTTCAAGCATATGATAGATTATTCAGGCATTTAGAGTGCCACAAGATTAAAGTTGTAAAATTCAGAGGTGAATTTATATATTTAGCTATTTTTTATTGTTTGTTTTTACCATGAACTATTGTTTTATATATATATATATACACTAAAAGGCAACCAAAAACCGTTGTTCACAGGAATTGCTTTTTTTTTTTTTTAATTCTTATTTCACTGTTTTATCCACTCCTTCCAGGTTTTTCTTCTCCATCATTATCAAAGTCTTCGATGATTTTAACTTTCCCTAAAATCTTTTTCTATACTTCTTCTCCCCTCTAAAAGAACTTTCATCTCTATTGTAACGATTGTCAACTCCAAGCTATTCAAATTATTTCTAACTCTTAGAGCTTCTTTTTTTTTTTTAATTCTTATTTCACTTCTTGAAGTTTTCAAGAATTGACAATTTCAATCTTGTTTAGTTCTCATAAATAGAGAAGTTCCCAGGAACTTAAAAACTTGAGTTCCTTGACTATATGGGAATTGAATTACTCCTCTCATCCCAAGGAAGTGCATTTCTTGAGATCTAAATGCGTGTTAGTTTTTGTTTTGCTCTTGATAGATTTTTTGATATCATTTTCCAAGCTCTCTAAGTTTTTTTAACAACTTCTATTAGACCATCAGGTAGGTCACACAAATTATGCTCTTCCTTTTTATTTTTATTACATTTTATCCTCAAACAATTTATATCTTCCTGAAATTTTAATTTTGTGGTTCAAAATTATTTGTAAAATGTCTGCTTTGCCAATTGTTAAAACCTAATAATTTCAATTTAAAGTTTTAGTCACTGAAAGCAATTAATTGACTTATATTTATTAAACATTGTTTTCCATATTCAGTAATAAAATATTGTATTTGGATGCTAAATAGTTTGGTATGCTAAAACTATATAAAATTATACAGTTTGCAAAATCTTATATGTATATTTTGAACGTTAAAACTATAATTTACATTTTATTGATTATTGTGTGATGACAAATTGTATGTTGATTATTAAGTGTAAATTATATACATATTGAATCAATTACAAGTTATTAGATTTAAATTAATGAAATAGTTCAAATAATATGCATTGTAGGGATATTTATGTTTTTTCATATGTCAAACTTTATTAACACGTTTTTACTTCCAACAATTTAAGAAATCAATCATACTGCATTATACTTTTTGGGAAAAGCACTTCCTAGAAAGTAGTTCGATTTGAACCAAACAAGACCTTACTTTTGACTCTTTTCTCCTCTCTGTAAAATCTCTATCGAAATTTCTTTTAAATTTCTACATTGTACCAAATACTTCTATCAAATTCATTGCTACCTGGAGTTATTGTTAGAAGAGGATCGCCTTGCTATAGTTTCATGAGCTTGATTCCCTCAAAATTCTCTCTCAAGCGCTAATTAACCATCCAATACTATGATATGCGAAAACGAAATCTCTCTTAATATATTTCAACATTTACTTTTCTTTCTTCTTTTGTTTAATTTTAGTTTGATTTGCTTTCAATTATTTATTTTTTTTCATTAGAATGTGAATTTGTTTTTTATTTTCTAATGAAACTTTTTATCTATAAATTGATTGATGCAAATATCTCACGAGATCAAATAATAGTTACTTCTTACTATTTTCCTTTGTTTTTTTTTTTTGTTATTTTTTTATAACAAAAATTATTTTTAGATTTTTCATTTGGGTTATATGTTTGCTCGGGAGATTAATTCTTTTTCTGATTGGGGAGATTAGAGAGACAAATTTGAAGCGATTTATGTTTTTATGATTTTGGGTTTTCAGAATTGCGAATAGACTGAAATCGAGTTGTTGAAATATAATGTTTGCATGTTTGAGGGTTTGGTTCTAAATTTCATCCTTTAAATGTTTATGGAGATATTTGATTTTTTTTTCTCTTAATTTGTTAGTGTTCCATGTTTTTCCTTTCAATGATATTTAAAAAAACAATATGATTGCAAGTACAAAATTGGGCCAAAGAAACAAATGGTTACAATATATCTAAAATTGGACAAAAATAAAAAAGAATGAGTAGTGCTAAATGGCACAAGTTGTGCCAAGCATAACCTGTTTAAATTATTCATAATACCCTTAATATATTTAAGGGTTTTTTTCAGTGGGGAAGAGTGAAAGATTCTTTTTTCAATATAAATTTTAAGGTACTAGATATTAACTGACCAAATTTTGCAAGGATAATTGCCGCTCGCCATCGTGCATGGTGACCAAAAAATCGAACCAAATTAGAAACTTACTCGATATACATCAAAATAATTAGAATTTGTGAGAGCCTCAGTTATGCTGTCAATTTTAAGAAATTTTATTGATTTCATAAAAATAATCTCTAAATTTCTAAACTCAAATCCAAATCTCAATTCACAAAATCCTTCTGCCAAATCTTTAAGTCAACACAAAATCAAGTTTAGTTCATAGAAAACTATGAATTCAGACTTATCTCGCCAAGGATTGTGGCTAGAATCATAAACTCAACTTGGAAAACTCAAAAATAACAAAAATTGAAGTACTTAATCCGCAAAAATAGAAACTCGATCAACCAAATGATGATAAAAAATAGGCTTGTTGTAGCCAAATGAATATTTTGCTACCTTATTCTCGCTAAACAATGGCTAGAATTTTATCGGAGAAGGAGAGTAGTGAGCTCTATCGCAAGATGCAAACGAAGGAGTAGATGAAGAAGGAAATGATATTTTCTCTCTCCTCTCAAACTATTTATAGTTCAGACCCAATTGAGTTCAATTCGATCTAAATCACAAAAACCTTGATTTTCTAGCGGTTTAACTTGTAGTATTATAATCAGATTAGACAAAGAAATACATGCATTAATAGATTTTACATATTTTCCTTAATCTTTAGAAGGCTTTCTATATCCATTAAAATGATGACAATTTAAAAAATTGGGATAATTCTAGGAATTAAGATTCTATACTTTAATTAACACATGTAATTAATCAATGTCAAGATATTTCAAATCATTGAAATATACTTAGGAAAAATTATAATTGACCCTATAGTTTGCATAAATTACTAATATCCCTATATTTAAAAAAAAACACTACAATAACCTCATATTTTGATATATTGCACATAATTGTCATTCCATCTATTTTATTTCAATTTTTAGTACAAGTCAAAGAAAAAATAAACGGTCAAAAGAGAGAGATAATATTGTTGCCCAATAATACCCTTAAAACTCTCTGTCACCTTCTTCTTCTAGGCTTTTTAAACAAATGCTGCAGTCGTAGCGCCTAAAACCCTTGTCTAGTTCTATGCTCTCAACACCATCCCAATCATCATCATCGATATTACTATTACCAAACTCGGTTCCAGCTGTGTTCTCGTTCCTTACGCTACCGTGCGCAGACATCATCAAATTAGTATCTTCGTCGCTCGCAATCCATAATCAAGATTATTTTAGATCTTGGGAGTGAGATAAATTAGATTCCAAAATCATAGAAGTTGTGTATTAGAAGGGGAATAGAACTCAAATTGTGCTTCATAAAATGATGTAGTAACAGAGATGAGACTATTACTATCTTATTCTGCATTTGATTATTCTTTTTGCTTGGAAAATGGTGTTTATTTTCTCTCTTTTTTAGCATCATTATTACATTATTTTAGATCTTTATTGAAGAAATTGTTACCGATCTCCAATGGTGGACTCAATAGAAGAAGGAAAAGAAATCCTAACCCTAGAAATTAGATTGCATTTTCGACCTTTAATAGAAATTTAACGGTAAAATGCAAAATTTAGACAGAAGGACAATTGTTTGTAATGTATCAAACTATGGGGATATTACAATGTATTTTTTAGAATACAAGAATAAACCAGTAATTTATGGAAAACTACAATGATAAAATTATAATTTTCCATATACTTATAGCCTTTTAATTATTAGCTAGTAACAACAACGTATTGACAATGCTATACTGACAATGCTCCCTATAATCATGATTTTTAAGCTTAAGTTCCAATGATCATATTGCATCAGTCAATTGTTAATTTGCCTTATTATTTATAAGCCTGAAGAAACAACTCTATTTTTTTTTTTAATTTTTTCTAATTTTTTATTTTTTTAAATTGAATATTTTTTATTCGTTAAAAATATTAGAAATCATTATTTTATTCTTGTTGATTAAAAAATGGGCCTTATTCATTTGGTCAAAGTGAAGGCAGAAAACAAAAAATTTTATGCAAATTATATACTGAAAACAAGTTGTTTGGTCCAAAAGTTTGAATAAAATAAGAAGCAATCAAGAGATATAAGCGATAGTTCAGACTGTTTTCGTTGAAAATCCCTCCGGAGGACCCGAAAACATCATTTTTGTGATTTTTGGTAAAATATTTTTATTTTGAATGCGGTGCCGATAAATCAGTCTTATAAACAATTTTAAGTCGCCATCCATTGTTTAGGCAATGAGACCGTTTTTATAAAAATGACTCCATTTTAAACCTAATTTTGTTTTAAGGCCAAATTATTTTAAAAGATTGGAGACCCCAAAT